TGATCATAGTCTACGATCAGCTGCCACCTCGATCATGATCCACCATCATGATCCACGATGTGGATCTGCGAGCGATAAGGCCCAGGGACTCCGGGAAGAAGTCAAGTCAGTAACATGTTGATGAGACGTGAAGTTATTTGATGWGATAAGGAGGGAGCAGAGGAAAGAGAAGCTCCATGTGTCATGTGTTCCTCCACATTCTAAAGCTACAGCAGCAGAACTCAGAGCTGATCTAAGACGAGTCTGGACCAGCTCTAACGATAAGCTTTATGTTAAAGGAAGGTTTAAAGCCGACTCTTAAACACTGAGAGGAGGTCTGCCTCCTGAACTGACCCTGAGATGATTCCACAGGAGAGGAGCCTGATGCTGAAAGCTCTGGCAAGCTTCTAAGTCGCTGAGCCTTGCTAGCCAAGCACGTCAGCAGCAGTGGGGGGAGAGTTGAGGTCATCTCCCACTTTGAGTGTGTGTGTGTGTGTGTGTGTGTGTGTGTTTGAGTGTGTGAGTGTGTGATTGTGTGCGTGTGTGTTTGAGTGTGTGTTTGAGTGTGTGTTTGATTTTCCAGATTCCTGAGATTCTTCTGGAGGAAAATGGGACAAAAGAAAAAGACGAGCTGGAATCAGAGAAAACGTCTCAGTGAGAAACATGAAGTCAAATCTTCTTCTTCTTCTTGTTGATATTCAGTGAATTAAAGAATCTGTGTAAATGGTTGTAGTTATAAAGAGCTTTTCTGGTCTTGATGAACACTCAAAGTGCTTTATACTACAGTTTTCCATTCACCCATTCATACATACATTGCTTCTATAGCTAGCACTTTTTTTGTTGTGCTATGGGGTTCAGCATCTTGCCCAAGGACACTTTGGCATGCAGATGGGAAGACTGGGGATTGAACTTCTGACCTTCTGGTTGGAGGACGACCACTCTACCCCTCAGCCACAGCCACCCTTGTGTCATGATAAAATCACAAAACTTACTTTAAGTAAAAGTTCGATCAACAGTAAACACGTCTCAGATAAAACAGATGAAGACAATAAAATAAAATGAGACATTTGCAAAGTGTTAAAAATAGTTTCCATTATTTTCATTTAGACTGAACACATTTTATATCTGTTGATCAACAGAGCTCAGTGTCCACAAGAGGGCGACAGACACTGAGATAACGAACCTATATAAACTCAATAACACGTCTCCTCAGTGTGTCATAATAAATAAATGTGTAATAACACATAACGTGTTTCATGTTGTTGCTGTGTTACACTTGATTCATCCGCTCGTCGTGTTTCTGACGACATGAAAAACATGTGGACTTGATTCTTCAACTTCCAGAGGTTTGTTTTTTAATGACACTTTATGATGAAGATTCTGGAGAAGACAGGATCTTTGAAATCTCGTCTCAGCCCTCAGCTCTTCCTATAATCTATTTATTTATCGATTGGTTGATTCATTAGTTTGAAGCAGATCAGCTGTGATGGATTTTCACATGAATAATTCTGACAGTGTTTGGACCTTCAGTGTCTGGAGTTTGAAGCTGCATCAGATGAATCAGAGTCAAGAACCAGGCGTTAGGAACCCGTCGGAGGGTCAGAGGTCAGGATCAGTTCAGCTGCTCTGACTCTGCTCGTCATGTCTGAACCTGCAGATGTTTGTTATTCAACAGTCGCAGGATTGTTGAACGTTTTTCTGTGAATGACGACTTGAAGCTGCTGCCTGGACACGTCGCTCATCACAGGAATGTTCCCAACAGACAAACAACCCCAACCAGTTTTATCAACATTCACTGAGACGGTTTCAGATTCAAGAGTTTTAATCATCATCATTACAAGTTTCTCTGTGATTGGACCAAAGTTCAGCGACACAGAACGATGCACATTTTTGTCGTTAGTTTAGTTTAAACATTTTTAAATTTTTTTTGAGTTTGTGCATTAAAAGAAAAAAACAATACGATGTTTTTGCGACTGACAATGAAAAGAATGTCACGTTTGTTATGTTTTGTAAAATGTGACGCAGTCATACAATGACCTGCAGTACCAACTGTGGCCACTACACCAGAATCCACTCACTGCTCTCAGGACATGCTGCGTTGAAATTTGATTCTACTGTTAATATGCTAGGTCCTAAACCTCCTCCATGTTAACAGATGGGACATGGATCAAAGATGTTTCTGCCATTTCAGCTCGTTCTTCTCTCTCTGATGTTTGTTCAAGTGTTTCTCATCAGTTTGGTTCAATTAGTTATTTGATGATATAAAAACAGGCTTGTGATTGACAGCTGAGACTGACTCCTGATTGGCCAAGAGTTTGTATGGGTGTGACCTTGATACCACGGCTCCACCCCACCATCACTGCTGCACAGACTCTGACTGTAAATTAGGTCATCACCACAAGATGGCAGTATCCGAGTTTTTTTAGCTTAATTTCTGCAGTGAGCGGAGATGAGTCTGTGATTTACCATGTTGCTAACATGTGCTAATTGGCACTAAGTAAAAGTACAGCTGGGGCAGATGGGAATGTCTTTATTGCTGAAATTTCACCCTTAATGTTTCTGGACTTTATATAAAAAAATGTGTATTAACGTATAAAACCATCATATATGTGAGAATATATCAACGTATGAACGAACCCAGCAGGGATCACACTGAGGATGTAAGAAACTAGAAGATACAAAAGTAAAAAATCTGAGTCTGTAGGTCTCATGACGTCAGCAGAAACACTCGACACGCAGCAGCAGTGTCCACATTCATCTCTGACCTTCCTCCTCCTCCTCCTCCTCCCTCTGTCTCTCTGGTCAGATGTCCTCTGTCTTTCCCCGCGTCCTCTGGTTTCCTTTCCTCAGGTCTTGACACCTTTTTCTTCTTTCCCTCTAGACGACGTGTCCTCAGGTGTTTTCTGCTCCGTCACCAGCTCGTACCCCCTCTTCTTGTCCACCTCTGGTTCCTGAGGTCTGGGTGTCTGCCGCAGTACCACGATGGTCAGCAGGAAGCAGAGCAGTCCACCGCACACAAAGACGACCTGCAAACCCAGAAACCTGCAAACACACAAACACATAGAGAGTCAGGAGTCTGAAGACATCTGGAAATCCACAACTTTCCAGGGAACCACCGACAGGACAAACACTGAAAGGACACGTGAAGTTTTCTCATAGGCTCATGAAGGCTTTAGTGAAAGTCTGTGGTACAGGAAGCTCCGCCTCTTCTGCTCCTGAAGCTCCAGAAAGACTTCAACCGTCGTCTTGACCAAGCGTCCACTAAAGACCCTGCACACTGTTTTCATTGTTAGGGGACATCAAACTAGTTACACTCAGTGAGAGGCCGACATTTTCTACGTGCATGAAGGCTGTTGACCAATCACAACAAAGAGGAACAGCTGACCAATCCGAGCAAGGCTTTATCAGGAGGGCGGGGTCTTAAAGAGACAGGAGCTTAAAGCAAGAGTTAGAGACAGAGGCTGAAAAGAGGAGCTGCAGCGATGGACAGTCTGAGATTCTGAACAACATGAAAACATGTTACAGTCACAACAAGAAGTAAAATGATCAAACTGAAGACGTCTCCTTGAATTCAGTCAAATTCGTAATGCAACTTGTGATTCACTGACATTTAAAGGTCAAAGGACAGAAAAGCTTAAACATGTTAATGTGAACCCTCAAACGTCAAGGTTTCAGTGTGTGTGTGTGTGTGTGTGTGTGTGTGTGTGGAGCTCACCTCTGTCTGAATTGGTCCAGGTTGTAGTAGAGACAGGATGTTTGCTTGTCGCACTTCCTGCCCCACAGGATGCAGGTGGTGTCGATGACGCTGCCGTACAACACGGGCCCAGGCATGAACGCTGCAGAGTCACATGACACGAGAACAACAGGTGAACAAACCAACTCATTTAAAAAAAAAATTTAAAGTCGAACAAATCAACGATCAACATCGCATTTTTATTTCTTGTTTTTGATTTTCAGAATAAAATCAAAGTGTGAAAAACAAACCAACATTTGCAGTCAGATTAATAAACTAATAAAAAAGTTTATTATGAAAGAACGACTGATTCACAGATTTACAGTTTTAATTGTATTTTTATTCTGTTAATCATTTTGTGTTATAGGCGGATGGACTCACCGAGCACTCTGAACAACATGTACTGAACTCCCACAGCAAAGGACTTGTCCTCTGTCGACACCGTCCTGCACCAGAGACACAAACACCAGGTTCTCAAGATGAAGATGATGAAGTTTCAAAGCAGCAGAGACACAGCTTCTTTAAAAACTTCTGTTCTCACTTCATCTCTCACAACTTTTCACTTTAGACACAAAAAAGTTTTAATGACAATTTTTTAATAATTTCTTACATTTTCTCCTCTGGTTGTTTAAATTGAACAAAATGAAAATAGTGAAAACTCATCGACAAGGAGAGAATTTATTGAACTGTTGAAACCAATAAAAAGTAAATGATGACAAACAGAATATTAATTTTGCTTTAGTTTGTCTTATTTCATTTCTCTACTCTTTCTTACGGTGGATCAAACTTTAAGACATTTTTTATTTGGTTTTAACTTGAAACTAAAACTTCTGGAATGGAAATTTTACATTTGTGTGTGTTTAATTGCATAAACAGACATGTATGTGGAGGACTGACCAAATGGTTGACCAAACTGTTCATCTAAAAGGGCAACTTTAAGGTTTACGATGGTGGCTTAAGAGACTTGAGTGAGCCTGATTGGGATCAAACAACTGGGATCTCACAGACGGGGGGGGGGTCATCCACAGAACATGTAAAAGCACAGGATGTCTCCTCCACTGAGTGGAACTACAGGAGGGTAATAAATACCTTTGCATGCTTAGTGGGAGGGGGCTGTGAGTTATAAGAACACAGATTCTCCTAAGTTCTGTGCTCATTTGTGCATGTCATTCAGGTGATGTGTACTAATGAGTCCATCTGCAGATGCTGAATTAAACTTACAGAAAGAAGTGTTTGACTTTGTGCTTGTTTCACAGAAATTGCCACCACACTTCTTAAATCTCTGAGCTGAAGACAGAAATCTGAAAACACATGAAATCTGACAAGCTGTGACGGCTGCAGTTTTAAAGGCTCCCCCTGCGGCTGATATCAGATGGAGAACAGGTGAGGCTCAGCTGAGCAGCAACGTGAGTCTGTGATTTAATTAATTTCTTTAACAATAAATATGGTCAAGGGACGAGTGACATGAAACAACCTGAGGTGAATAAATGAAAAGTTTGTTCTCCTCAAAAGTACAATTACACAACTGTATCTGTATCTACAACTTTGTTGTCTTTTGTGTTTGTTATAGTTTTACATCTTCAAGCATTGACTCTACAGGAAACAGATCATTCAATATGACAGTTTCAGGACTGGAGCTGATCTGAGCTGCAGCTTTGATTTTAACTATTTGATGTCTTGTCTTTATACCTGAGAATCATCATGTATGACGGCGTCTGAGAAAAAGAGGCGATGAAGCTTGTGATTCCCAGAAGAACCATGAAGGGGAGGAGTAGGTGGGCACATCGGCTGCCACAGGTTCCAGGAGCCGCGTGTCCGAGACCATCTACGCATCGACACTCAGTGTAGTTCTGTAAAAACCAAGACACGACACAGGTGGAGGTCACGACCTCTACAGGCTAAAGTCCTCACAATAATAATGATAAACTCATTCATGGTCAGTTCAGCCAGACCGTCTCCAATCATCCACAAGAAAATAAAAGGATCCCAGTGGCTCTTTGTCGAGGGAACCAGGGCGACATCTTGTTGCTCTAAAACAATTCATCGTCTCTGTGTCACTGTGTGAGTCCGAGTGAGGATTTCACAGTAAAATGGTTAAATAATACTCACAGTCACTTTGTTCTGTGCGCCCCTCTCCATAACGTTGCAGCCAGCGTGACACGGTGACCTGAACTCGATCCCGTTTGATCCACAGACCGGGTTAAAGATGTCCTGAGGACAGCCACAGCTGGAGCTGCACGACAATGCATCAGTGCTGAAAACACACACACACACACACACACACACACACACACACACACACACACACACACACACACACACACACACACACACACACTTAACTTTAATACTTTGAATAACCTGCAGCTGTGGAACATTCCAAAGTAGATAGTAGTTTATCCTCGATTCATTCAGAATTAAAATCAGTTCTCGTCCAGTGACATCACTTCCCCTTCTTCCCCGACAGTCGAGAAATTTCCCTTTTTGCAATGAAAGACATTCATGAAGAAATGAATCCCCTGCTGTTTGTCAGGAGGCGGGGTTAAAGCTGGACAGGTCACTAGGGTCAACAACAGTCTGGTCTCCATCAGTGTTTTAGTGTCAGCTGTGGAATGTGGGGATAGTGTTTGTGACGCACTCTGGAAAGACACCGGCGACCCTCTGGGTGGAGCAGCCAATGAGCAGCAGCGGCATGGCAGAGAACACACAGAGCAGGATGGCGATGGTGCACAACTTGCTGGCACCACTGACCGAAAGATTCAACCTCCGCATCAGGACTCCGCCCAGGATGGTGCCCAGCACTGCCATTGGGATCCCGACTCCTCCTGAACCAAACCAAAAGGACAAAGTTCAGGTGCATTTTAAATTCTTTCGCTGCTGCCGCTCAACAAAAGATTCACCCTCACAACCACTTCACCACTGAAGCAGTTCAAGGGTCGGTTCAGAGCCAGTGTCTGATCTCAGGACAGAACAAAATCTGCTTCCAGAGTCTAGAAGCAAGAACCTCTTACCTCACGTTAACTTAAGGGCAAAGGTCGGGATTACTGTGACCAACAAGTCCAATTAGACCAAACAAAACTAGGGACCACCTCTAAAAGAACAGAACTTGTGTCATCTGCAAAGAAGATTGAATATTTTTAACTTTGGTCCATTGAGGAGACAAACTGTCTTATTATTATTGCCTTGTTCTTTGGTCGTCGGCTGAAGAACAAACTTGAGGAAGCTTCATGATTAAAACCGAGAAAGGACAGCGAGACATGGACCTTTGGACATTTACACTCACGTAATGATGTGGCTTCAGCCAGTGAAAAAAACAAGTAGTTTTTAAAAAAGTGCAAGTTGAACTAACTCAAGCAGCACATCGGTCAAAACAGGGGAACCAGACCCGTGTGGACTGTCACCTATCATCAGGGTGGAGAAAGAGACAGTCTGACTGAACTGTCTCTCGATGAACTTGGCCATGAAGGTGGCGAGGCCGGCGAGCAGCGCTGCCAGGTTGACCTGAGCCAGAACCACCAGCAGGTAGATGGGACTCTGCAGCGTCCGCAGAGCGATACGAGGAAAACCTGGAGGAGACAGAGTCAGTTCAGTCAAGTTACCATGAATGCAATGTACCAGTAAGTCTGGATGAGCATCAACACAAATCTTAAAGCCACAATATTTCCTGTCTGCCACTTAACCTTGTCTCCAACAAAACAGCATTTGCTCAGCTTGTTTCTCTGAAAACGTCAGATCCAGACATCCGACAACTAAAATCCTTCATCTGCTTCAAATATCGAGTTAAAAACCACCAAGACGTAAAAAGTGTTTCCTACAAATGAGACTTCAAACTGGATGAAAAGTCACTTTAGACTCTTCAGACAAACACATGTCCACATGGGATATGACGCCACCAACAGGTGACCAAATGAAAAGCACCATTACCTTGTTTAAAACCACAGATTTCTTTAGGTTTGAAAATAACAAGAAGTCAGCGACAGATAAATAAACAGGTCTGATGATTTTAGATGATTTCATGTGTAAATTGGTTTAAAAAGCTGCTGTGGAGTCTGATGATAAAAGTCGATGACCTTTAGTTGTTTCCTCATCAGACAGAAAAGGAGAAGAGGAAAAGAAGACTCGTACTTTTGAGGAACTGAAGGAGGGAGAGATGCTGCAGGTTTGTCTGCTGCTGTTTGTCCGGTCTGGACTCTGTGTCGTCTGCTCCGTCCTGAACAAAGGAAACAAAGCATCACAGACGTGTTTGTGTCGCAGGATTTGAAACCCCTGAGTCTGCAGCTGTGATCAGGAAGTCTGCCGAACGTGATAAATATGTCCTCTGAATAACTTGAGATCCAGACACTCTGCAGAGGAACTTCTCCATATGTTGGTGCTAAGGTTCAACACTAAGGTCAGATGTGGTCTGAGCAGAGAAAGAGTGTGTTTGGACTTCATCTCATTTTCTTTCTCTCTTTGGTCTCCACCATCTTAGTTCAGCAGCAGCTCAGAGTGTGTAGCTGTGTCAGAGGCCTTGTGCTGCTTCAAAATAAAAGAAGACATGATGCGAAAAGAAAAGAATAAAATAACAGACTAGCATAAAATAAATGAAAAGGAAATAAAATAAAAATGCTATGATGTGGACAATGTGAGGACCCTCCGGATAACATGAGTCTGCCGCCTTGACTTAAATATGTTGACAGACTCGACCAATGAGCAGCCAGGAGCAGCTGATGCTCAGAGATGATTTAAAATTTTAAAAACCAATAACCTGAAACTCAGTCCTGACCTGAGAGAGGACGCTGCCGCTGAGACGATGAGTGTCCTCCTGTCGCCGTCTGACAGCAGCGTTGATGACTATGGACTGATGCCCAAATAAAATGAAAACTATCGGTAAAGAATGATTCAGTGTTGTTATGTTTCCTGTTTGGCAGCTGCAGAGCAGATGATTGGCTTCATTAGGGGGAGGGGCGGGTAAGTGAAGTGAATTAAGTGAATTAACGTTAAAATGTTTTGTTACGAAGCAACAAACCTTAGAGACGAAATCCAGAAGAAAAATAAACGAGTGTGATTCAGACTTGATGCTTTTATCTGAAGAAACGCGTGACACAAGAGTTCTGTCTGATTTTATCTCTTCATCTCATCAATCACGAAATCTGACATAATAATAATGCTTCTGTGAAACGAGAGAGTGAAGCTCGAGTGTAAAAGTGAAAGTGCTGCTGGTCGGACGGGTCGGGGGGGGGGGTGATGTTGAGCAATCGTTGGACTCAGTTTGTTTTTCTTTGGCTGAAAAACAGTTTGGAGCTGAACTTTCTCTTTCTTTGACAAAACAAACTGAACTTTGAGTTCGTTGACTTCTGATCATGAACATGTTTGTTACCATGGCAACATTCAGGGCCCTAAGAGCCAAACAGAGCTGCAACAAATCCATCTGTTCAGAGTTCTTCATGTTTGAAAGTTTCTGCTGAACACTGGAGATAAACTCTGGTTGTTAAGAACTGATCTCAGTTCAGCTTCACTCGTCCACTGGAGCTGATGGAGACTCTCAGTCACTTGTTCTCTCAGGAGATGAACCCACTCAGCAGAGAGAGAGAACAGACGCTCAGGGAGCGAAGGAGGAAACGTTCTCCATGTTCTCACTCAGCAGTGTTACATCCACTTCAGAAGAACGAGCACCATGTTACAGAAAATGATCCTTTTGATCAAATCTAATGATTCTATCTATATTTCCAAGTTTCATTAGAATCGGAGGAAAATGAGGTTCAATGAGATGTTGAGGCTCATCAAGTTAAAATAAACCTGGATTTTTGAAACCATCTCATCGATCCTCACAAGACAAACGTCTCTCTCACCTCTCTGGGCATGTCTCTGGGGAAGAAGAGGTAAGGCAGGGCTGTGAGGAAGAGGAGGCCGGATGCCACCAGGAAGCCGAGCCACCAGGCTCCGACCCAGCGAAGGTCTCTGGAGTCCAGCTTGATCTCGTCTGGAGTCAGAACACAGTCAGTCAACTGTCAATCAATCATCAATAAAATGATCACAGTCAATAATCAACAGCTCAGAAATGTTAATCATTTAAAATATGTTTAAACTTGACGCCATGTTTTCTGCTTGATCAAATATTAATACGATCAAAACTTTAAATCCTGATTTGACTGAACTGGTTTACCAGAGTTTTTATTTTTTAATGCAGCCAGCCACCAGGGGGCGATCAGGATGATTTGGTTTCACTTTGGGGGGCCGTCATGTCGTCCATCTTTATTTATGGTCTGAAATAAGTTCTTCTATAAACAGTTTGACTGAAAGTTCATAATGAATTAACACCCGATGATGTAAAGTTCAAAGCAGTGAAAACCTTTAATAACAAGTCACATGACAGAGAATCATCATGTTTCCTGTTGGATCTGGTGTTTGTCTCCAGATGTTTTTATCGTGTGTGCTCAGAAGATTCATCATCATCCACCGTTTTTACTACACACTCAGTCAAACTGTGACTGACAGACTCTTGTTGGAGACAAAGTAATAATCGACTCAGCGTCTCCTCACCTGAGGACAACTTGTCAAAGTCAACGTAGAATCTCAGCATCAAGGATCCGGTAATGAAGCCGAGGGCCGGACCGATGGACGTCACAGCGAAGACGATTCCTGAAAAACACAAGCAGCAACAAACGTCGAAACACCGATTCAAATTAACCTGAAGACGAACAGAATGTGTCTCATTTAAAAACAAAGGAAGAAGAAATGTCAAAAGACAGAAAACCGTGTTCACATGTGAAGCAGCTGCGTCACTAACATCGGTACAAAGATTGTAAGGACGTAACTGTGGGACAGATGTTCCAGATGTTAATCAGAGTCTGCACCGCTTCATGTCAGATATTAGTGGAGTCGTTCATTGGTCATGTTAACTGTTGAGTAGGAATGTGTAGTTGAGAAGAAGGACAGAATCTTCAGTGTTCATAAACTACTGGACTCGTTTCTTTCTGGCTGATGGATGTTTCAACAATCTGCTCGTTTCAAACAGACTCAAACTCCTGAAGGATCTTCACCGAGAAGCACATGAATGTTGGACACGTTCATTGACCAGCTGTCGTACCGAGGTAAAGCGGTGAGTTCCTCTTGCTGGCGTAGTCGTCGATGTAGGAGATACCAAAGGGCTGAATGGGAACGGCTGCAACACCCAGCAGCAGCTGAGCCAGCAGCAGCAGAGGGTACGCCCTCTCCTGGGCGGGGCTCTGCTGCTGGCTGCAACTCTGATTGGAGGAGGAGGTGCTGAAGGGGTTTGTTGATTGGCAGAGGTCCGTGCTGTTCTGAGTGGAGGCTGCTGGGAAACAGAGGCTCTGTCAGGTTGTGTCTCATCATCATTCACTGCAAGTTTCTAAACCTGTTTCAGTTCCATCCACCAACAACATGACTACTCAAGGTTTAACCTGATCTAACTGTTGAGGAAGTGGGACGTGATGGAATCATCTGCATTCATCCATGTTAGGACCGTTAGTTCACGCTAAGAGATCAGAAGACAGGTGGTGTTTGTGGTCTCACAGCTGATGTAGCTGCTGTAGTCGTACACTCCACTCAAGAAGTGCGGCAGCGCCATCAGCAGCGAGGCGAGGCCGGCCAGCATAGCTCCGCCCCCAATGAACCGAGGCCGGTGGACTCGACTCCCGAAGAAACTCACAAAGACGATGAGAATGGTGTTTCCCACCTGAAGATGCACAACAGCATTTATTTGTATTTTGACAGTAAAATGAAAAAAGGTTGTACAGTTCAACATCATGAATTACCCACATGTCCCTCTGGACCAGTATTTATGTGTCTGAATTCAGCAGAGCAGTGAGTTAGTCACATGTTCACGTTGCCTCGTCAGACTCAACATGGACTGAGACAGCAAAGAGTCGCAGGAGTTACAGGCTGTATGATTCACGTTACTGATCAAACAGGATTAAACCTGAGTGTCATGTTAACATCACAAACCTCATCGGACCTGAGGAAGATTTCTGGACTCGTTGGTGGATTCAAATGAAGCCAAAGAGTCAATTCGCACAGTGAATGAACTGAGCGGTAAAATGTGTGAGACCAAGATGATGAAAGAGTCCTCACTGACCTCGTTGAAGGCCGCTAGGAGCCCAGACTTCTGGCTCGAGAGGCCATAACGTCTCTCGATGGTGGAGATGGAGCTCTTCATGTAGCCTGACACCAGCAGCTGAGCCAGCTGCAGCAAACTGTGGCAAAACACAAAGAACTGAGGAGGAGGAGGAGGAGGAGGAGGAGGAGGAGGAGAGGAGGAGGAGGAGGAGAGGAGGAGAACCAGTTTGTCAGTGGGATCTGTTCATCTGCAGGTTTTTATCAGGTTAATAAATATCGGGCGACAGCAACAACAGACTGGAACTTAGAAAGAAAAACTATGTGAGTTCAGAGTTGTGTGACTTGTTGTGTTGGGAGGAAATGTTTTCTTCTCGTGACCTGAGAGAACAATTCCAGGATGGACGTCAGGATGTGAAGAGCAGACGAGTCAGAAATCTGCTCACAGGTTTCTGTTAAATCTACTTTGTACAGCCTGTCCTCTGGTGTCTCTTCCGTCTCTCCAGGTTCTGTGTGTCGCAGTAACGCTGCAGTTCCTCCGTGTTGAAAGGAAACAGCTGGTTTGAGTATCTAAGATTCTCCTGATTCTTCATCAGGTGAAGTCACAAGTCACTGCTCCTCCACTTACTTCTGGGTACTACTCACCTCCCCCGACCCCGGAAAAGTGACAGAAAATGAACCATGGACTCAAATTTAGCTCCAAATCTCTGAACAGCTAAATCTGCATCTGATGTGTTGATTCACTCAGAATTCTGCAACCATAACCCACCACCTCCAAAGTCCACGTTAGAAAACCAGCGGCTCGACTTCCTGAATCAAACTCTAGATGAGACACAAACACAAACCTTGATGTTGTTGAACAGACTCTGGCGTCGAGCACAAGGTCGTGACCCTGAGGGGTCAGATTTCACTTTGACTTCCTCCACCCCCATGATTCAATCTGTAGCAGAAGAGAGCCTGTGAAACACACCGTCAGAATAAACCCACAGTGAGCTGACACAACGAAGCACAGACCAACAACATGTTGTAACATGTGCAGGTTGTTTTCAGAAACGTGTTCTGAACAGATATTTCATATCATCATCATTTTCTCTTTTCAACCACAAACTACAAACATTTCATTACGTCTCTTACATGAAATCCTCAGATACTAAAAGACGAAGAGACTCTAAAACACAGGATTCAAATTCCACTTTGTTGTTCATGTGTTGACTTTACTCGTTCAACCTCTGTGTTTAGATCCAGACTCTTTACTTTGTAAAAATCATAAAACTCTACACAAGCTGTGGGATTCATCATTACAGTAACTACGTCTGCTTCATTTAGTGTTGAGCTTGAGTTCAGTCCCACAGAGAAGAGGAGACAAAGTCTGGACGTGAACAATCAGCTGCTGTGACGAGGAACCTTTGACCATCACAGGTTTGATTCCACAATAAATGATAACAGCAATCAACCAAGTCAAATATTAACTTATGAGTGTGAGTGTGAGTGTGTGTGTGTGTG